TAAGGTAAAGGTAAAGGTAACAGTGTTCCATGCGCCTTTGGCGTTTAGTCATGCCGATCACATGACCACAAGACATCTTTGGACAGCGTTGGCTCTTCGTCTTTGAAACAGAGATGAGCACCGCCCCCTAGAATCGGGAACAATTAGCACATATGTGTGCGGAGAACCTTTACCTTTACCTTAAACTTCAAATCAAGACCAATTAGAGGAAAGGCTTCAGGAAATCTCCAACACAGAGCTCTCATCAGGTCTTAGATTTTATATGTGGCCAATAACACCAAAAAAAGTTTTATGAATGCAAAATATTCCTTATTTGCTGATGTGCCGTGAGTATATATAAACAATTATCATAAAGTTGGCTATATAAAAGAAACGTTTAAAACACGTTCAAACACTGGGTGTGCTGTTTAAAGTCAGCTACAATAAAGTCAGTCATTTAAAAAGCACATTTTTGGGAAATATGCCAGATATTATTTAGGGAAAATAAAGGCTGCTGAGAGTTTTGGCATGGATCAAAACTTGGCATGTGGTGATGGGAACCGATTACCCGGTTCAACTTTATGTTTTTGACCCAGAATAATTTTTCACAAAGAAGACTGAATCCTCCCTGCCCAAAGGGAACCAGTTAGGTTAGACAATATTGTTACCTGTTGGAACTTGCAGCAATCATGTATACCACAATTTACCTTATAAATCAGGTGCGCTTACTGGATAGTTGTGCGGCAAGATCCCAAAAGGTTCCATTTCCTTTCCAAGAACATTGGTGCTGTCAAAGTGACCTCCAGAATCCCATAGCCAGGAAGATGAAGCATACACACAAAAAGACTCAGACCATGAGATGTCCTAGAGGAGAAAGGAGAAACATTGAGCAGGGGTGGTTTTTACTTACCTTCCTTACCAGTTCACAAATGTGAGCGTGCACTAAACCTTCTACGCAAGCACTTTTGGCTTTAAAAAGGGCCTAAATAGGATGCTATAGAGCTGGAGCTAGAGCTGGTGGGTGGGACTACCTGTGATTTCTGCTACCGGTTTTGGTGAACCAGTCCGAACTGATAGAATACCATCTCTGACATCGAGTACATATAGCCAATGAGTAGCTAATGTCATGGCTGGAAGCTACATCTTTGGGCTTTTCCCATTTATGTATGGATTGGCACATCCTAGATAAAGTTCATTGCACTACACTGTACTGCATCTGAGGAAAAAAATAGAAAATATGAGTCAAGGGAACAGTGACTTAAAAGAATGGGAAGCCATCAAGAATATACCTGTTGTAGGTAATTATATTTATGTTGCACATTCTTGTGCACCACTGTCAATTGGTGTGAAACATCAGGGGTACCTGGCTTATCCAGTTTTAGATTTCCTTTGAAGGAATTGATTGGAACGGAAGACATTTTCCATAATATCTAATGAATATGCATGCAATTATAATAACCAGTGAGCTTATTTAGCACAGGATTCTAACCTATTGGCCTTCTTCTGAGACTTACAGCAGAATGCTGGAGCCTCAAATCAAGGCAAATCAGGGGTTTGACTTGACATGAGGCATAGAGCCAATATAAACAGCCATCTCATTCATTTCCTTCCCTAGAAAAATGTGGGTTAGACAGCATCACCAGATGGATTCGTAACTGGCTGACCAACCACACACAACGTATAGTCCTCAATGGAACTGCATCTACATGGAGGGAAGTATGCAGTGGGGTACCCCAAGGCTCTGTTTTAGGCCCAGTACTCTTCAACATCTTCATCAATGACTTGGATGATGGGATAGATGGGGAACTCATTAAATTTGTAGAAGACACCAAGCTAGCAGGAATAGCCAACACTCCAGAAGACAGGCTTAAGATAAGGAGGATCTTGACAGATTTGAACATTGGGCGCTATCTAACAAAATGAAATTCAATAGTGAAAAGAGTAAGGTTCTACATTTAGGCAAGAAAAACGAAATGCACAGGTACAGTATAGGTGGGACCTTGCTCAATACTAGTAACTGTGAGAGGGATCTTGGAATCCTAGTGGACAACCATTTAAATATGAGTCAGCAGTGTGCAGCAGCTGCCAAAAAAGCCAACACAATTCTAGGCTACATAAACAAAGGGATAGAATCAAGAACATATGAAGTGTTAATACCACTTTATAATGCCTTGATAAGGCCACACTTGGAATACTGCATTCAGTTTTAGTCACCACAATGTAAAAAAGATGTTGAGACTCTAGAAAGAATGCAGAGAAGAGTAACAAAGATGAATAGGGGATTGGAGGCTAAAACATATGAAGAACAGTTGCTGGAACTGGGTATGTCTGGTTTAATGAAAAGAAGGACTAGGGGTAACATGATAGCAATTTTCCAATATCTCAGGGGTTGCCACAAAGAAGAGTGAATCAAACTATTCTCCAAAGCACCTGAGGGCAGGACAAGAAGCAATGGGTGGAAACTAATCAAGAAGAGAAGCAGCTTAGAACTAAGGAAAAATTTCCTGACAGAACAATTAATCAGTGGAACAGCTTGCTTCCAGAAGTCATAAATGCTCCAACACTGGCAGTTTTTAAGATGTTGTATATCCATTTAATAGCAATAGTTAGCAATAGTTAGACTTATATACCGCTTGATAGGGCTTTCAGCCCTCTCTAAGCGGTTTACAGAGTCAGCATATTGCCCCCAACAATCCGGGTCCTCATTTTACCCATCTCGGAAGGATGGAAGGCTGAGTCAACCTTGAGCCTGGTGGGATTTGAACAGCCGAACTGCTGAACTGCAGTCAGCTGAAGTAGCCTGCAGTGCTGCATTTAACCACTGCGCCACCTTGGCTCTTTACCTGAAGTGGCATAGGGTTTGTTCCCTAAGCAGGGGATTGGACTAGAAGACTTCCAATGTCCCTTCCAACTCTGCTATTCTATTCTATTCTCATTCTCATTCTTATTTTTCCATTCAGAGCAGAGGTGTCAAATCTGATTCCACTGAGGGTCGCATCAAGGTTTTGCTTGACCTCAGGGGACCGGAGTGGGCGTAGCCAAGGTGGACATGGCCAGCTCGATGTCACTCATGTCAGAGGTGCCTGTGGTAGCCCGAGCACTCTTGTCAGAGAAAACGGGCTCCTGAACTCCGTTTTCAGCTGTGACAGCCTCCTGCAACCCTCTGCCAGTGAATAGGAGGACTGCATGAGGCCTTCATGAGCCCATTTTCTCTGGCAGAGGCACGGCGGCCCAGTCCTTTGCTGTTTCCAGGGCACCCTGCCAGCCAGGACTTAGCACCCCTGACTTAGAGAAAAGAATCATTTCCATCTGTTACCTTTTTTTTCTTGGGTCATCCCATTTCTTTTGGTCCTTTCCCAAATCATAAAGGCTTGTTGGGTTTTAAAGGCCTGATTGCCTCAGGTCACCCACTTTAAGAGCTCTAATCGCAAGAATCTTGCATCTCAATGACTGCAGAGTTTAAAGGGAATCTTATCTGTCAGAGCCTGACTCTCAAACAACTCTATCACCATAATCAACATAACCTCATCTGGGTGTGTCTACGCTGCTTTACAAAGAACTAGCATGACAGGTCTCTAACTCCGTGGATCCCCACTGGCTTCTGAATAGATGAAAACAGATCCCAGAAGACCAAATTCAAATGGCAGTGACTTTATAATACAGGTAGTCCTCGACTTACAACAGTATGTTTAGTGACTGTTCAAAGCCACAACGGCACTGAAAAAAGTGACTTGGGGCCATGTTTCACAGTTACGATCTTTGTTTCATCCCTATGATCATGTGATCAAAATTCAGATGCTTGGCAATGGGTTCATATTTATGACCGCTGCTGTGTTCCAAGGTCATGTGATCTCCTTTTGCAACCTTCTGAACAAGCAAAGTCAATGGGGAAGCCAGATTCGCTTAACAGCCAAGTTATTAACTTATCAACTGCAGTGAATCACTTAATAACTGAGATGAGAAAGGTTGTAAAATGGGGCAAAAACCCACGTAATACATGTCTCATTTAACAAGAGAAATTTTTGGCTCCATTGTGGTCGTAACTCGAGAACTTACCTGTATTAATGAGGTTCTCCAGACTGTTTATGCAGAGCACAGCTAGAGGCAGTGGATGTTTATGCTTCCTTTTGAGCTGGAGCAGCCTGGATGTCTCCCTGACCTGATTCTGATCAGTGAGAATTGTGTAACTGCCATCAAAAGCACATTAGACATTGGCTCACTTCCTTCATTTTGCATGGTAAGGGGGAAGAATTAGGGGGAAGAAAAACCTGCCTCTCTTAAGCAGAGGAGAGAAGCTGAAACTTTGGAGCAGCTTTTCATATTGTCTTCCAGCACTGATCATATTGTCATACCCAAGGTGGTCAAGAGCACGATGACTCAGCAATTGAATAGTCAAATGGCCTGCAGAATGTTCTTTACCTGAGGTGATTGGAGGCACTGACTTCCAAATTGAAAGACATCCAACATTCCTTTCAAGTATTAAGGACTGGTGTGATGTTTACATAAAGACTGAAACTGCAATCCAGCGCCTTGGCAAGGTGCCTCATTTCAGAGCCTACAAGACAAATAATGGAAATTTACAGAAGGTCTACATTTCCAGTGGTCCCTTGGTAAATAAAATATCAAGTGATATCATTAGCACTGATGATGTTACCTAGTTTGGGTAATGAAACGTCTGCAAGAAAAGCTCAGAGAGCACCAAAGACCCTTCATGTCAACCCTGAGCTACAAATATTCTCCTTTATAAATAAAATATCATAAAAAGGGGGGAAATGAATTTGTGGTTTATGTTTCTGATGATTAGACAAGATAGATTATAGAAAGCAATGTGATGTAACCTAAAGAGAGGTTAAAATATCATTGTACTTATAACTGCTAGGAAGAAGATCAGAAGCAATTTCTTTATATCTTTTTCACTTTTAGCTTTTTTTTATTTCTCCTTTTCTCTTTTGTTTCATTCTATTTCCATTTGGTATTAGTTTTTACTATTGTCAAAACTGTCAGCAAAATATATATACTGTATGTGGATAGATAGATAGATAGATAGATAGATAGATAGATAGATAGATAGATAGATAGATAGATAGATAGATAGATAGATAGATAGATAGATAGAGTATAAATCGCCGATTCTGTCTTTATACACTTATTATTATCCTATTATCTCTTATTATTATACAGCATGCTGAATAATGAAGTGATGGACATACAAGTCCCATAGATTTGACCCAGCAGCTCATGAATGGTTCTTCCTGCATTATTGAACCAATTTTTCTATTGATTCTGCTAGAGAATGTCTGCTTCACTTCAAGCAAAACTCACTCATACAATTCATCATGGGGTTGACAGTTTGTTTTGCTCCACCGCATCTACTTCTGCTCAAGCCCTTTGAGTTTGCCCATTTCTCAGTTTGTCCTGTAATTTTAACACACACAGAGAGAGAGAGAGAACAGTCATTTTGTGAACATAACTATGGTATGTATATGTTTTCTGGAAGAAGGTGGAGAAAAGAAAAGGCTGTCTCCAGACAATCACTGAATAGACTTGGTGTTGTACACTAAGTTGATCACTTGTACAGTTTGATTGAGTTTTCCAGCAACATGGTCTGCAATTGGTGCCTGGCATGGCACAGTTGTGACTTTGGCTGAGAAGAAGACTGGTGGTGATAGAAGGATGAGACACCACCATACTTGGCCCCCTGATTAAACCTTTTACTCCTCTCCATCTGGAACCAGTTGGGGATCTTGGGAATGATCCAGCTCTTTCCACTGTTTTATTGTAAAGTTATATTAACATAATTTTGCAAGTCAAACAATATCTCCCCCCCCCCTGTGCATTTACAGCCTGAGAAACTAGGGAGGGTCCCTTAGAGATAATTGCCATGCCCACATTCCTTCTAAAGTCTTGACTTCCTCTTATCAGACCAGAGTCTAGTTTGTGACTCATCCACCTGTCACCCAAGGTCAATCATTACAATCTCTCACCTAGCTTATGGTTGGTCAAATGAATCTTATTTGTTTAAGAGACAAAGGAAATTTCCTTCCTTCCTTGGAAAGGAGTTTCGGAGAGTCACAAATCAATTAAGTGAACTAATTGTCTCCTGCACACTCCACTCCTCTTTCGCTCCTCTTTTATTTCCTCTGGGAAGGGCCATTCATCGTAGACCTGTGACCTTACTCTCAAGTCGACCCCTGTTCTTTTGCTGTTCCCTTTGTCTGGCAATTCTGCACATGCGCACACTGGGAACAAGCTCCAGCTGTTTGTCTGCCTCACAGATGTCTGACTCTGAAGGCAGCTGATAACTGTCAGACAGCCCTGGCTCCCTCTCTGCCTCTGACACAGAGCCGTCATCAGAGGCTTCCCCAGACTCCAGGACTGGCCCATGTTCCTCCCCAACCTCCTCACTGTCCAAATCTGTTGCCAGCTCTGCTGGCCACTGGCAGGCCACAACATGTTCCTACTCTTTAACAAGGCTTCCTACTACATTCAAATTTCTACAAAAACAACCAGTGCAATTAAAAATAGCTCTGCTCCTGTTCCACCATTCAGTGCCTTCTAGGGGCAGGGTCCATGGAGGGGGAGTCCAAGAAGTCAAATAAAAGTCAAGATGGCAGGTCTCATGTCCAATTGAAGCCCCCCCCCCATATATATCAAAAAGAGCAGGGCATCAAGCAAGCAGTCATGTGTTTAATCTCAACTTTTTAAATCCTTCTCTGCACTTTCCTTGCTACAATCCAAGATAAGGTCCCATTCAAGAGTCACCTCATTTTGCCTCAAAAAGGCACTTCACATTATGGAGGCTTCAACATATGCCTCACTGAGGGAAAACAGTGAGAGAAATTATCTTGCCAATATTTTTTGCATTGTTCCTGAGGTCTCTATTGAGGAGCCTCTGGTTTCTCTTCAGATTATATAAATATTTCACCTCAAAAATAACCTAGAGTTGCTATGCAAAGGCATTCTGAAGTGACGCTTTATTCAAAACATCCCTTCCCTTCATACAGCTTAGTCTAATACTTCCCAGGGAATAAACACCATTATACTTCTAAATAAAAATGCCCTAGAAAGCATTTAATAATGCAAAAAGAATTCAACTTTCTCATATACTCCCTTCATTGGCTGCAAGATGTCACAATATGGAATCCCATAATGTGATGATGTTTCTTCCTGTGAACTAAGTAGCTAAACATCACTACTTAGAAGGAAAAGGAAGTGATCTGTTTCTACCAGCATCTTCTTCTGTTTTTAAATTCTGATTAGAAATTATTCCCGTCTAATTTATTGTTTAAATACTAGGGGTATGAATTATCTGTGCACAGCAGTACAGGTTCAGATTTCTTTTACGTCTCATTTTTTGAGTCTGTGGAATAATAAAAAAAAGCAAAAACTTGAATGTTCACTCAGTCCAAGTGATTTCATCTGTGGAGACTGAGACTAATTCCAATCAAGACACTTTGAGAGTTAATTCTGTCTGTCTGTCTGTCTGTCTGTCTGTCTGTGTCCCCTTCGGGGGAAAAGGGCGGCATATAAATACAATAAACTGAACTGAACTGTCTGTCTGTCTATCTGTCTATGCATACATACACACACACACACACACACACACACACATATATATATATTCATCTACCCATCTACCTACCCATCATTCATTCATCTATCCATTCTTCTACTCATTTGTTCAGTGTTGAATAGTCACTGGGAATATTAGATAAAATAATGTTAAAAACAAGACAAAATGCAAAGAAACTGAGAACTCCAATACTGAAATTCAACAACAATGTATGAGACAAAACAACACATATAGGTGTCCTCCTTGAACAAACCCTTGTTCAGTGACCAAAGTTACAATAGTGCTGAATGAGGGAGACCTATGATGACTCGTTGTAGTTGCAGCTATCGCCATATTCCCTGGACACCTGATTGCAATTTGGGTGCTTGGCAACCAGCTCCTAATTATGAGGAATGCAACAACCTTCAGAGCCACATGATCACCATTTGCGTCCTTCACTGTCAATTTCTAAGCATAGTCAATGGGGAAGCTGGCAGGAGGTCACAAATGACAATCCAGGATGTTGCAAACACAAGGGATTCCCTTAATGATGTCAACTGGGACTACTACAACTGCCATCTTAAATTGGCGGCACTTCAGTTATGTTGCACATTTTGATCGTGTTATTAAGTAATGGAGTTGTAGATCCTAATTAACATTGTTAAGTGAGGAAAATCGATAGTCATGAGAGCAAGGAGAGGCTCTTGGATAAGAGATTTGATAAGCAGGGTCTGAGAAGACCTTCTCTTTTGCTCAGCTGACCACTTTTTGTACACCTAGCATGAATACACAATCCTTATCTTTTTAAAATTTATTCTCACTGTATTCGCTTTTTCCCAACCTCTATTATTTCCTCTATTATTGACAGGCTGGCCAAACCAAGTTGAGAGTAGCCGTTGGGTCATTGACCTTCGGTGAAATAGGGACTTGTCTATCCCGAGCTTGAGGAGACAGATTCTGGTGGATTGAGTGGATGAAATCTACTAGAATAGGACAACGGTCATGAAGGCGGTCTCTGCCAGCAATGTGGTACTCTAAGACACGAAAGATGCCCTGGTCAATCACTGTGCCCAGCCCATCTCCAACTGTCTCGACCCTTGTCCTACTAATGAAGTAAGATGGAATCTGGGAAGTGAGGGTGAGGCTGACTCTGCACACCTCTCCCTCTTTTTAATCCAATTCACGCACAAGTCTTGACATCCCCTCAATTAGATGTCAAGGTCCTCTTTGAACAGGATGGGCGAACAACATTATTTCCAAGGAATGGTTCAGCCTCACCAGATTTGGTTGACAAAAACCAGAGCTGAAGGTTTCCCATACATTTCATTCCTTCTGTCAATTAAATTCATTCAGGGCTAATGAAGGATCAACTTGTTGATCTTTCATCTCTAAGCCCGGATGTTAACCCCGATTAAACTAATTAGCTAAAGAATGTTTGTTTTACAGGTTGTAACAGAGTGTCCTCAGATGACTGTGGTTTTTTATTTCCTGTTTAAGACTGCAGGTAGCAGATTTATGTAGAGTCCAACTGGCTAACCCAGTATTGTTAACCAGCACACACTTCAGATTTAATCTTCCAAAAATACTTTGGAGGGCAGTGGCTTTAACCAAATGGCAGCACTTTTTGTCAAGATTAAGCAACCAGATCTTGATGTCCAAGCAACAGCAGCAAATCCTTCCTCGCCTTCTCAATGAAATCATGGTGCTAGTTTATTAAAACCGAAGTCCTCCAAGTTGATATTTTAATTATCCAAATGAGGATTTGTAGTTAGAAACAGGACTTCTGTCAGTCCTATTCAGCAGGTGAAATTCAGCATGTTCTGACAGTTTCTGGAGAACCGGTAGCGGAAATTTTGAGTAGTTCAGAGAAACGGCAAATGCCACCTCTAGCTGGCCCCAGAGTGGGGTGGGAATGGAGATTTTGCAATATCCTTCCCCCAGGAATGGTGTGGTAATGGGGATTTTGCAATATCCTTCTACTGCCACTCCCACCAAGCCATGCCGATAGAACCGGTAGTAAAAAATAATGAATTTCACCACTGCTTCTGATCCCATATGATGGACAGCTATGAGGACATCCAAGTAGAGAATCTAAGCAAGGACGTTTATTATCTGACTTCACCCAAATGTAGCTAAGTCCAGCATCCCCTAGTGATCAAGTCAAGTAATAGCAGTAATTGCAAAAGACTTCTCATACATGAGAATACACCTCATTCTCCTCCCAATGGACAAAAGGCACCTGCAAATGAAGCTTACCTTCTCCAATAAATAAACTGCTATCTTCTCAAGGGAAAGAATTAATAGCAAGTTTGCAAGCCACATGGTCCACAGCAGGCTGCACCTATTCAGAGGTGGGCATTTTAAAAAAATTATTCTGCCATTGTCCTTTATTTGAATATGAACTGGAATGCTAAGTAGTGATTTAGGAATTACCAGGATATTGTTGTGACTCTGACGAGAAGAACCATTTTGTTGTGATGAATAAAGGAAAAAATACTATAGATTTGTTCTGTAGTATGAGAGGACAGACTGAAAGTTATAGTGGATAAAGGTCCATTAGAAGACAAAACAATTTTGTTGGTAAGACTCTTAATAATATGGTAATAATTGGACATCCAAGAAGAATTTGTAATTTATTGAATGAGATGGTGGAGAAGTAGCAGTCCAAAACTGAAAGCTACATAGAAAATCTATGCAGATATAAAACAGGGCTTATAAATTGTTCTAATCAACCAAATTTAATGATATACAATTCCTCAAATCCATAACTCAGATTAAAAACAGACAAGGTGAGTCCCACTTTAGGCATAAAAAACCAGCTGGGTGACTTTGGGCCAATCATTCTTTCTCAGCCTGTCAGAAGGTCACAAAAGGTGGTCACCTGACCCCAGGACTAAAACAGTCATAAATACATGCCAGTTGCTAAACGGCCAAATTTGGCTGGCTGGGGAATTCTGGGAGCTGAAGGCCATATGTCTTAAAGTTGCCACAGTTGGACACCCCTGATATAGATACAGGAGCCCTCAGGTGTAGGGATTCCTGGGCAAGCATGTTTGTAAAGCATGCTTAGGAAGATCTTGTGCTAAGAATCACATATCTGCACCTCTAAATGTCAGCCAACATTTCTATTCCCTGAAATTACGATCTATGATCAAGGGATTATGGAGAAAGCCTGCCTGATCTCAGGTGGGACAGATAGACATTACAAGCATTTTAAAGTGAATAAGGGAGTAATAATTAAAAACATAAGAAAAAAGGATAACATTCTTAGAGTTTGAGTAGCAAAGTTACCCTAGAAACCAGTGGTGGGATTCAATAATTTTTACTACCAATTCTGTAGTTGTGGCTTGGTACATGTGGTGTGGCTTGGTGGGCATGGCAGGGGAAAGATACTGTAAAATCTCCATTCCTCCCCACTCCAAGGGAAGGATACTGCAAAATCCTCATTTCCTCCCAATCAGCTGGGACTCGGGAGGCAGAGAATAGATGGGGACAGGGACAGCCAGAGGTGGTATTTACCAGTTCTCTGAACTACTCAAACTTTCCACTACCGGTTCTCCAGAACTGGTCAGAACATTTTCAAATTTAAAAACAGCATAAAAAGCACATCGCTTAAAGCTACAAATACTAAAATTGTAACTGAGGTTAACAATGGTAAGAGTAGATTATGATCCAGCAAGGACAATGAGATGGAATTTTAAAAGATGGAAGTGAAAGAGCAAGCAAATATTCACTGCACATTGTTCTATAATTATCCTGATCATCATCCCTACTCGTGGAATAGACCCTCAATTTGGGGGTCTTCATACACTTTAACTTCATACACTTTCATCCCCTTTTCAAATCTTTCTATAAGTTTATCGACTATTGGCATGAACTACAATCCACATGGGAATATTATTGTGTAAATGCAGCTACTGGCAGAAAAAAAATTGTTCATACCTAGGGTAGAGTCATAGTGAGACGTGGTGGCTCAGTGGCTAAGACACTGAGCTTGTAGATAAGAAGGTCGGCAGTTCAGCGGTTCGAATCCCTAGCGCCACATAATGGAGTGAGCTGCCATTGCTTATCCCAGCTTCTGCCAACCTAGCAGTTCAAAAGCAAGTAAAAGTGCAAGTAGAAAATAGGAACCACCTTTGGTGGGAAGGTAACAGTGTTCTGTGCACCTTCAGCATTTAGTCCTGCCAGCCACATGACCACAGAGACGTCTTCGGACAGCGCTGATTCTTTGGTTTTGAAACAAAGATGAGCACTACCCCCTAGAGTCGGGAACGACTAGCACATATGTGCGAGGGGAACCTTTACCTTTAAGGTAGATTCATAGCAGATGAAGGCGCAGATGCCAATGTGGTGAGATCGCAAAATCAGTCAAGGATGCCAAACTGCTATGAATAGGCCTGAGGTGGTGTCAGATATTTGGAGACTTCCTATTGTAGAGAATTGCACTGCGGGAAAGTTGAAATAGCAGTTGCTTGATGCCATAGGCACCAAGCAATCAGGTTTCTCCCATTTAAAGAATATTATTGCAGATACAGAAGCTTAGCAGGAGTTTGTGGTATGGCTCCAGAAAGAATACGTTTTGTTAGAAAATTCCAAAGATGGACAGTGACCTTGAAAGAGGACATTCCAGTCCTTCCTCTCCCTGCATCTGTATATGCAATACTTCTAGGCACATCAGACTGGAGAGATTATGGTTCCCCAGAATTCACCACTGCTCCAGCATAGCTAATGCTGAGAGAGACTGGGAGATCTAAACAGTTGAGAGTACAGGATACAAGAGAAGTGCAACTGTTGGGCATTGCTTAGAAATTCAAAGCCGAGCCAAAAAAACAAACAAAATATCCCAATAGATTACTTGAAATAAATTCAGATAAAAACTATTAGCTTTTTTTTTTAAAGGAAAGCAGAGGTCAAAAAGGCAATGTCAAAATAATCCACCATGCTGCCAAATATGTTTGAAAGTATGAAATTAAAGGTTAAGATCTAATGGGAAGGAAAAGCTAGCAAATGTTAATTTTTCAGTTTATCAGAGAAGGCAGAGTCTAAACCGGAACAACTCAACTGGAACAGGAATGAAAAAGCATTAGATTTCCAAACCCCACCTCCATTTAAATAACTTTTACCTGCTCCGCAGGTAACGATGCATACACACACATATATATACACACACACCTATATACCCCTTTCTCTTTCTCTAAGCCTACGTCCACATATACAAACGGATTTTATCCCACCATCTTTCCAGGATACAGTATCATCATTGGAAAGGAAGAGTGTAACTACAGGTTTCAATCCAGTCTAATCTGTGCAATTGTCATCCGTGATGTGGGAACTCCGCTCTGTGGCCTTCACTCGAGCTATCCTTGCTGAATTCCTAGCCACGCTCCTCTTTGTCTTCTTCGGCCTGGGCTCAGCTCTGAACTGGCCTGCTTCCCCACCAAATGTCCTCCAGATCTCCTTCGCATTTGGCTTGGCCATTGGTACCTTGGTTCAAGCGGTGGGTCATGTCAGCGGAGCCCATATTAACCCTGCAGTGACCATGGCCTGCCTGGTGGGTTCTCAAGTCTCTTTCCTCAGGGCCATCTTCTACATAGTGGCACAGATCCTAGGAGCTGTGACGGGGGCTGCCCTCCTGCATCAAATCACGCCGCCTCATATTCGGGGCAGCTTGGCCATCAACAGGGTAAGGATTTTACTGTCTTTAGGAATGGAAGGGCTGAAGGACTCCAGCTTTCTGGGTCCTCACAATGGATCATAGGAAGTATATTACTAATAGTATTATGTGTGTTGAAAGATAGGTTAATTCGATAAATCGAATTTTTCCCAACCTAACAGTTTCTACATGCAAAGCAGATATACATCTACTGAATTACAGTCTTTCCTTTTGAGAAACTTGGGTAAAGGAAAGCAAATCTATGTTAAAAGAGGTCAGCAATCTTGCTTTCCCTTACTGTTGATTTTTATTGTACCTTTCTTCCAAACTTCATGCATAATAGTTAGCAAGACTGCAAAAATCTGGACTATCACTAAATGGTTGGAAAGAGTTGGAGCTTTTGATATTACCCAGATTTTTACTATGATTGGCCCATAGAAGAGATGGATGGGATTTGGATTTCATCTTGACTCATCATAGTCTAATGTTATGCAGGACTCAATATGTGGCTTATGGTTCACAATTCATGCTAAGCTATAGGCAATTTGCTTATGATTTACCGCACTGTGAAATTCCAATAGTAGTAAATAGTAAATAACTATTTACTATTTGGTAAATAGTAATTTTTGATCTGGTGGGGTATTGGTACTCAGCTATTGGACCAGCTCATCCTTCTGGGTCTCCCCATACCCAGTTCTTCCAACTGACACCATTTTAACTAAAGATGCCAGTAATGAAACATGTGCTTTCTCGTTGGGTAGAACTGCCATTAAACTGATGGTGGAAATTTCAGTCTTGCAAGACTTTGTATTTTCACCAGAATTCTGCTTTCCATTCTCTGGAACCTGATGCAGAATATGAGTGCATCATTGGAAGGTCTGAAATACTATGTTAGGATCATGTCATCACAGAGAAAATCTATGTGATTGCTAAGACTTGATGGACATAACCGATCAGATGTTTAGCAACCTCACTTAGAAGAGGAAGGTTATCTTTTGCTTTTCTAATGGATAAATCACTTGGCTGATCTATTGTTAATCATCCAAAAATCTACCAACAGATCTTCCTGACCACTATCTAGATATTTAAGATACATAGATTCCATCACACACAAAAAGACATGTAAGCTTTTACTACAGATCTTTTCTATCCATTTTAGAGCAAGCTAGTTATTATAAATATAATATATTTATCAACATGAATTCCAAATCTAGCAATGATCTTTGCATGTTTCTAGCATTGAAAGCTTACTCCTTGCTTAACCTTTCTGGTTTCTATTCTCCCACAAGAACCATATGCTATTTAAGGGATGAGCGGTTTGTTTCCCTGTCATATTCCAGTTCCTCTGTGAAAGCAGTGCTAAGCCCAGGTTGATGCTGGCATGACAAATTGCTACCCAATTGCCAATTTGTTTATTTATTTGTTCAGAAAAAATCAAGTACTTCCTGATGCCACGTATTATTGCAAAGAATGGCACCTGGGCAGCTTAAATATTGCAGATCCTCCCTTCATTGTAAATACCTATTTGCCCATTTCATAAGCTCCAGGACCTGGTATCTTTTGACATGCTGTGTCAAATACTAGAAGATCTACGTGTTTGATATAATAATTATTTAAAGATATTTCCTATGAGCCCATAATCCCCTGTCTCCACCCCACATGGATGGGCTCTCTCAATTTACCAACACTGAAAGGTCTTCTCTAGGCAACGGGAAAAAAGGAGTTGCAGTCATCTTTTTTTTCTTCAAATGCCTCCAGTGAGCCAGGGATATTTCTTGGAGATAAAGGCACTTCGCAGTGTGCATACTTTTCCTTTATATTTTAATATATAAAATTGAAATAGTTTTAAACATTAAACCAGCAAGGTTACTAGCATGACACCCTAATGCCAAAGGGCATTGTATTATCCATTTCTGAAATTGCTGGTCATTAATAGAAAACTGGGATCGTAGAAAAATAGATAACATAATTATAATGGTAATATTATAAGACTGTGGCTTCTGATCTCTTATTGTATTGGCTAGCTGTCAGCCAGAATTTTATTTATTAGAATTTTATGCTCTTGACTAACAGCTGGTAGCTGTGCCATTTGGCTCAAGTCTTCAGTCTTCATGAGGGATGGGATCATAGTAATATTAGGGCAATATCTTGCGAAGTCTTCCTTTTGGCTTGTGGACACCAATGAAGTGGCTAGGGTACATCTCCTGTCCCTTCTGGGCTGAATCTCCGTCCTCCTAGCTGCGTGATCACTGGATTCAGGAGATAGGCCAATGCCTTGTTGCAGAGTGTGTGTGTTTCGGCTGTCTTGAAATAAACACCTGCTTCTAACCAATAGGATCAGGACAAACCTGGTTCCTTGTAGTTCATATACAATATAAAAACACTTATAGAAAAGCATTTTGTCCCATCTTCAGCAATCCTAATCTCCTGGTAGTAGGGAATTACTGTATCAGCATTTTCCCCAAGTTGCTCATGTTGGATGGGACAAATCTGGTTGATGGAGGTGATCTTTAGTACCAAGCCATATAGGGCTTCATAAATAAGCCTTTAAATCGCACCCAGAGAAGTACCTGCAGCCAATGCAGGGCACGTACCTCAGGTGTTTTATGTTATCCTGTGCCAGTTAGCACAAGGGATACTGCAATTACAGTTCTTGGGTGGTCTCCACAAAGTGCATTGCAATGAATCAATCAGGTGTTGATGACAGCATGAGTTGCAGGTGCTAGTTCCTGCTCCAGCTTATAACTGGTACACTAACTGGAGTTGGGCAAACACTCACTAGGCTCAAGGTTGACTCAGTCTTCCATCTTTCCGAGGTTGGTAAAATGAGGACCCAGATTGTTGGGGGCAATAGGCTGAATCTATAAACCTCTTAGAGAGGGCTGTAAAAGCACGGTGAAGCGCTATATAAGTCTAAGTGCTATTGCTAATTGCTATTGCTAGTATTTGAAAAAGATTGCATTAATCACCATGAAAATCATTTGTACTGCTAGCCTGACTTCTTAACTTTGTTGATTAGGAATTCTGGGAACCCTTCAATTTCTGTGGAATTTATCAGTTTGGGAAAGACCAATAGGGCAATTTACTCTAATAAGATTACTAAGATAATTTATTGGAGCTGTTTGCAGGAACATTCCATAGGTCATAAAGCTCAGGAATAATTTACAAGCCCCTGGAGATATGTGACTATCAAGGCATCCTCCAAGAACCATTAAAGTAAAGTTGCCTATTGGGAATTAAATTAATGCATAATTATTGGTGATTTTACAACACAGAAGCAGGAGAAGAACAGGAAAGTTTGCATACTTCTAATTGTATACAATTAGGTTTTTACAAGTGTAATCTAAATGCACATTTAGCTAGGTAATCTGACAGGCATTCTTCAAAGATGAGACAATTCCATCTGCCATTTTTAGCATTGTCAGCTGCATTTTTATTTGCCAAAATCTTGTGTAAGATATAGCAGAATAGATCTCTGCCACAGGGCAAGAGACTGATTTGTAAATTCCAGTAACATTGTAACAATAATCAGATTTTTATCTGCACTTAAATGCACATAAAAATACTTAAATGACTGAACATAATAAAAAGACCTACTTGGATACTGGCTTTTTTGTTTTAATCTGGCTGGTCAGATGTATGATATTTACTTTGATATTTTATGTCTTATTTTATATTATAACCCAATAAAAATGTTAAACCTAGGCCTGATTTGCAAAAAGGTATGAGAGTAATTCAAACTTAACTGTCATGATCCCTTAATATTGCAGCTCAACAACTAGGTGTTTCATCTGAGTTTTGAGAATATTCTTCATTTGGTATAGTCTCAATCAAGCAACAAAAATATACAACATCTAGAGTGACTAGGTAAAGTTAGTTGATTCTGTTGTAACTTTTTGTGACTCTATAGAAATGTATTTTAATTTACTGGCATTAACAAAAGGAAAATGTCATGATACCACTATGGTATGAAACTATGAAAATAAATATATTTAGCTGTTATATTTGGTTCATTCTTTAAGATTATGTTGCCCTTTGTGGACCTTTGAGGGGGAAAAGAATGAGAAAGAACATCAGTGGTTAGAAAAGTACACTAATACTTGGTTCTAGATTAATAGTACAACTATAACTAACTCACAAGCCATGAAATGATCTAATAAGCCAACTCCATCCTCCAACTTACCTTCCTTGCAAAAGTGTGGGTAGATATACAAGAGTGGGTGGAAGCTGAGAATACCGTATGCCACTTTTAGGTCTGGGAAGAAAATGAATAAGTACACAGACAAAAAGATTTAATGGATACAGAAAATAAATGAAAATGGATAGATAGATAGATAGATAGATAGATAGATAGATAGATAGATAGATAGATAGATAGATAGATAGATAGATAGATAGATAGAT